GAGACGTGGCCGGAGCGGGCGCCGAGTCACCGTGAGTGTAAGGTGGAGGTCGTCGGGAGGGCGTGCGCGGGGGCGTGCGCGTCGGCATCGCTTCTCGGCCTTTTGGCTAAGATCAAGTGTAGTATCTGTTCTTATCAGTTTAATATCTGATACGTCCTCTATCCGAGGACAATATATTAAATGGATTTTTGGAGCAGGGAGATGGAATAGGAGCTTGCTCCGTCCACTCCGCGCATCGACCTGGTATTGCAGCACCTCCGGGAACGGTGCACCCCCTCGGGGGAGGCTTTCGGTGACAAAGAGTAGGTTTTGTTCTTTTTGTCTTTGGTGTGGCGTGAGGTGCCTGCCCCTGGTTCGTTTTCTAGCAGGTTTGTGGGAGGCGGGTATCCGGTGTTTTTTTGTTTTTTTGTTTTTCTCCCTTGTGTCTTTTAAGTTCTTACCCGTGCCCCTTGGCCGTGCCGTGCCGGTCTCTGTTCTCTTAAGTCTTTTTTCTTTTTTTGCTTTTGACTTTTTAAGCCGTTTTCTTGTTTCTTAATGAGGCGTTGACTGGGCGAGAGTCAGCTTCCGTGCAAGTGTCGCACTGTGGGACTGGACCCGGTGACGGCAGAATCATGCCAGGAGCCGAAGGCCGACGCCGAACCGATCATCCCCAGTCTTTTGAGATCTTGAGGTTCTTTGGCACTAAGCCGGTTGTGGGGCTTGACACGAACTGACCTCCTGCTTTTTCCTGCTAGGCTATGCCCAGGAGTTTCACTTTTCTAGGAACCTGATTGCTTGAGGGACCAACAGACAGCTCTTCTCTCCCTTACTACCTCTCTCTGTCTGGTTTAAGTAGTTGACCTCTCTAAAACCTTTTTCAGGCTTAGAAGCAAATGTGTGATGGAGGAGTGCAGACACGTGACACATCTGCTCCTTAATCCTGCTTTTTACCTTCTGACTGAGGGGGTAAATGTTTAAATTTCATACTTAACGGTGGAAAAGGAGGATGACAGGCTGTCTCTCTGGAGGGCCAGAGAGTAAAGAGTTTAGGCTTCATGACCCGGAAAGGTCCCTGTGAGCTCTTTCTTCTGCAACCCTTGAGAAATGTAAAATTCGTTCTTGACTTGCAGTATAGGAGAACAGAGGGGCCGACCTTGCTGGCTGGCTGTAGTCCGCTGACCCCTGGACTAAAAACACCTAATTTAGGCTGCCCGGGTGGCTCAGTGGTTGAGCGTCTGCCTTCGGCTCGTGGCCTGATCCCAGGGTCCATGGGGCTCCTCGCGGGGAGACCTCTGCCTAGGTCTCTGCCTTTCTCTATGTGTGTTTCTCACCGATAAATAAAATATTTTAAAAAATAAAAAGTAAAATAAAAACATCTGCTTTGTGTATTGTCCCACAGAGGGGGGCCCCCTTCAGGCTTCTGGACAGTCTGCTGCCTGAACTCAGGAAAGGCCTCCTTGATGCTATCTATGTGCCGAGACCGAAATGAAAGAGACAGACAGGCCTCCTACCCCGAGAAGTCTATTTTGTCTTTTAAAGTTTGACTTAGGGCAGCCCCGGTGGTGCAGCGGTTTGGCGCCGCCTGCGGCCAGGGGTGTGATCCTGGAGACCCGGGATCGAGTCCCACGTCGGGCTCCCTGAATGGAGCCTGCTTCTCCCTCTGCCTGTGTCTCTGCCTCTGTGTGTGTGTGTGTGTCTCATGAATAAACAAGTAAAATAAAATCTTTAAAAAATAATAAGGTTTTATGTACTTATTCATGAGAGATGGGGGTGGGGTGGGGGGAGAGGCAGGCCTCGAGCAGGGAGCCGGATGTGGGACTCCATCCCGGGACTCCAGGATCACACCCTGAGTGGAAGGCAGACACCCAACCACTGAGCCTCCCAGGCGTCCATACTCCGAGAAATCTTAATGGTTTCTGGCAGAGAAAATGGAGCAGCAAATCGTCATGGGTCCAGGACCGGCTCCTGGACTGAAAAAAATTTAAAACATTTAATTTATTTATTCATGAGAGAGAGAGAGAGAGAGAGAGAGAGAGGCGGAGGGAGAAGCAAGGCTCCATGCAGGGAGCCCAATGTTGGACTGGATCCCGGGATTCCAGGATCACACCCTGAGCCAAAGGCAGACGATCAACCACTGAGCCACCCAGGCGTCCCTGAACTGGAATATCTACAAACCCTATAAGGATTTCTTCTCATTTTTTTCTCCTCTGCCAGCAGAGTGTACCCGGGACTGAGGGATGCAAGGCATCTGTTTCTGTGCATCCTGTCCACCGGTCTAGGAGATACGCTAGGAATCGACACAGAACAGTTGCATACACGACAGAAAATAGGCGAAGTATAGACACTGTGTGCGGGAAGGGGGGAGGGGGGCTCGGGACGGGAGAAAAACACAGGTATGTGCTGACATCTGGCCCCGAGCAACATTACCCGTCTGTCCCCTCGAGTCTCTGCACCAAAGGGCCTGGGGCCACCCGCTCATGGCGCGGACCCTAGGATCCATACGGTCCCTCTGTGCCATCACTCCAAGAGGCAGGATGAGCTGGGGGAACAGGTGCACCAGAGGCCATCAAGAGCCTCAGTCACTCCCGTCACACACACACACACACACACACACACACACACACACACACACACGGGTCAGAGAAGAAGGTAAATCCTACAGTGAAACAGTGCAGCACAATGTTTAGGGGCTCCTGCTGTCGGGGCCGGCCAGGAACATCCCCTCCCGAGCCCAGAAAAATTGCTTCCTCTTTATACCTCCGACCACGGAGATAGAGGGAAGCCCAGGGCCCCGCAGGCCTCTTGCGTTCTGGAAGAAACACATTCCACACCTAGACACCGTGCTTGGGCTGACGCCCTGGGTGACGGGGAAGACCCTCAGCTCGGAGGCTGGCCTAGAGCCTAAAAGAGCTCTCAAGCTGAGTCAGGGGCAGCGGGGGCAGCCCCGCGTTTCGGCCCCAGTATCCAGCGGACCCCAGGGTGTTGGTGACAGGGGGTGGGTCCCTGAAGGAAAGAGATGCCCTGTGGAGTATATGGCAAGCCGGGACTGCAGAGGATCACAATGGGGCCCCTCCCTGGGGGTCCTAGAAAGGGCCGCCGGGCCACCGAGGGCAGAGACTTCTCCACCTTCTGAAAAGCAGCTCCCGGCACACTTCTGGGCCTTTGGGGGGAACGAATGTTTGCAGAAGGATAGTCAGGGACCGGGACTCCGGACTGCCCAACGGGCCTGCAGGTCAGGATGTCAGCTGGGTCAGCAGCGGCGGGCCACCCTAGGAGAAGCGTGTGGTGTCGGGATGGAACCCGAGCAGGAATAAGAGACACGGGACAGCCAGCCAACCCGTTGGCCCCGCAGGCCTTTGTTGGCCACCCCAGACCTGGCAATATGGGCATGGGAACCGTGGAGCCACAGGGGTGTCCGGGGAGGTCCCACACCGGCAGGTGCTCCTTGGCTGGGGCTCTCAGTCCTGAGCTCCTGGGGGTACTGGGGCCGGGATGCGGGGATGCGGAGCTCCTCTGGCCTGCCGCCCTTGTTCCCAGAAACCTCCCTGGGACTGGCCCAGCCTCTGTCAGATCCCGTGGGGCCCTGAGGTTCTCCAGGCTCACACCTGCCTCCCCCGCCCCTTTCAAAGCACCCCACCCCACCCCACCACCAATGAACCTCTTGCACTGCTCACTCTGTTCCCGTAACTTCTTCCCAGAGGACCCAGTGCCACCTAGGACTCAGACTCCAGTAGTCCAACTTTTACAAAACATTGGTGCATTTGAATATGTAACACTCATGTCTGTCTAATTACAAAAAAAAAAAAAAAAAAAAAAAGAAGTCAGCCCCGGTGGCTCAGCGGTTTAGCGCCGCCTTCAGCCCAGGGTGTGATCCTGGAGACCTGGGATCCAGTCCCACGTCGGGCTCCCTGCATGGAACCTGCTTCTCCCTCTGCCTGTGTCTCTGCCTCTCTCTCTGTGTGTGTCTCTCATGAATAAATGAATAAGGTCTTTAAAAAAATAACAGAAGAAAGAAAAAAAGATAAAGAAAAAGAACGAGACCGGGAATAAATACTTGCCGGTCGATCACCGGTGGGACTCATCTACAATTTTTTTTTTAAAGATTTTATTTATTTATTCATGAGACAGAGAGAGGCAGAGACCGGCTGGAGGGAGAAGCAGACTCCACGCAGGGAGCCCGCGGGAGACTCGATCCTGGGAATCCAGGATCACGCCCTGGGCCGAAGGCAGGCGCTCAACGGTGTCCCCCCATTTTTATTTTTATTTTTATTTTTTTTAGGATTTTATTTTCCTCAGTTCCTCAGGCTGCGGAAACAGATGCTGCCAGGGAACCCTCAGGGTGCAGTTCCTCGAGTCCCCGTCCCGGATCCACGGCTCGGGCAGGGGTACCGGGCACCACCGGGGTGCGACACCTTGGTGGGGGCGCATGGTTCTTGGGCAAGGGTGGCGCCAGCCTTAGCTACCCGGGCACCGCTGTCGGTGTCTGGGGATTTCTGGGTCCTTGGGGCATGGCCGGGAGGGGTTTCTGACGCCAGTGCCTCTGGAGTCCCTGAACTCATAAGAGGCCAATGCAGGTGCTAGAAGGTGAAGTAAGGAAGTCCTCTTCAGCGGGACTGAAAGTTGCGAAGTCCTTTGCAAAGTCCTCCTTTGCAAGCAGTGGAAGCGTCTGAGGGTCAGACTACCTGGGAACCCATAATGGGACTACTGAAGCCCCCCTCCCTCCCCCAGTAAGCAGAGAGGTCTTGGGCGGGAGGGGCCGGAAGGGCCATCGCTCGAGAAAGCTGTGCCAGGGGCTGGGTAAGCCGGGTTGACACATGACCTGATTTAATCCTCTCTCTCATCGGTTCACTCGTCCCCTCAACCGATATTTAGGTGCTGGGCAGCGGTCTAAGTGCCCGGATCAGAGAAGTGGAAAAAGCAGTCCAGGTGGGGGATCTTTCCAGCGGCTCAGAGCTGGGGCGGGGCGGGGCGGGGCGGGGCGGGGGACGAAGCTCCTCCGGGACAAATCCCGTCGGTGCTGGGCCGGCCGTAGGAGACACTCACAACCAGCTTGCGGGCGGAGGGGGGCGCCTCGGGCGCGGGCAGGGAGGGGCGGAGCGGAAACGGGCCCCACGTTAGCTTTTATTAGGACCTGGCCCGCCGCGAGGAGATGACAGTCACCGAACTCGCTGTTTGGGCCCGAGGGTTCGCTCCTCCAGGGCTGGCTCCCGCCGCGCATTTCCACAGAGGGCCTCCCGTCCGGACCAGGACTTCCTTAGGGACCCTCCAGACCGCGCGCCACCCGAGCACGAGGGCGAGAGAGATCATGCCACCCCGACGGCCGAGAGGGCGAACCCGGGCCGGGGGCGAGTCACGGGGCCGGGAGCTAAGACAGGGGCGGGCCGGGCGGTGACCGCAGACGTCGCCATCGTGGTACCTCCCGCCGACCCAGGCGCGTCCGACCAGCTGCCCTCCCCGTCTCCCGGGTCCGCCTCCGGTTCTCGGTTCTCGGGGCTCTCCGCGCTAGGCTCCGTCACTTGGAACGGCCCGTGCTCCAGGCGCGGGCGGCGTCTTGGGACAGGGCGACGGCGGCAGGGGACCGGTCTCGGTTATACCGCGGTGAAGTGAGGATGGGGACAGCTTCAAGTCGGCCTGGGGTCCTGGGGAGCCACACGGATAGCAGAGCCTGCAGGGCAGTGCGTCCGGCGCGCGGCGGCGGCGGCGGCGGGGCGATCCGGGTTCTTTCCCCGCAGGGTTGACGCCCCGGAGAGTCAGTCGGGTTGAGTGAGGGGCGAGCGTGCTGGTCCAACGAGCCTTACGGCCGAGCGTGCAGGCTTTGCGGAGAATCCACCGTGGAACGGAACGGACGCGGGCCCGGGGGCGGGGGCGTCTAGTGGCGGGAGGCTGGAGAGGAGAGAGGAGGGGAGGAGGGCGGAGGCCGGCTCCCAGCCGCACTCACACGTTCCTACCCCGGGGGCAGCTCGCTCCCCGCCCGAGGTCCGGGCCCTGCGCCTCCCGGATGCCCCGCGTCGACCCCGCGGCTCTCTCGGGAGCACGCGCACCGCTCTGGTCCCGCAGCTCCCCGCCACACGCCCCCTCCCTGCTCCGGCCGGCCGGGGTCACAGTTCCCAGGTGGGAGTAGTTCCCGGGACCCGGCGCGCTGGCGGAGGAGGCCCAGGGGCGTGGCGGGACCGCGGGGGGTCGGGGACGGGCCGGGGCATGCAAATAGCTGGTCGTCCTCTAGGGAAGGACGCGAGGGAGCGGAAAGGGGTGTGAAAATCGACCAGGAATGCGGGGGATGGCTGCAACCGTAACGGCGTGTGGAGCGGCCCACCGCAGCCGAGTGGGCCGAGAACGTGGCCTGAAGGTGACCTGGCTCACCGTGGGCGCAGTGAGGACGGTGGCGGGGCGGTGCCGGCCGGGGCCGGGTGCTCGGCGTCTCTTCGCGGTATCTTGGCTCGGGTCCAGCGTAGTGGTAGTGGTGGTGGTGGTGGTGTTTCTTCTCGGCTTGGTTGCTGTACTTTTTCTAAGGAGGGATCTATCTTACCTGCCTTTGCTTTTTTGCTTTTGCGTTTTACTCACTTGGTGCTGAGAGAGGCAGAGATGCAGGCTGAGGCAAGCAAGCTCCCAGGTAGATGCCCGGTGCCGGGGGAGCTGGGGGGGGGGGGAGGGCTTGTGTCCCGGGGGTCCCAGGAACTCTGGGCCTGAGCTTGATCCTGACCCCAAGGCAGGCGCTCAACCGCTGAGCCCCCCAGGCTTCTCTCTTACCAGTGTAACGGCTGCTACAGTGAACTACGCTATAAAGGCTGACTGGCTCTGGTGGGCTTTTTTTGGTTTTGCTTTTTCGTTGTGTTAGCGCTGTTTTTCTTAGGAGTTTCCCTTCTCTTCCTTCCGGCAGCTTTTCTCTTCACCGCTTACCAGGTTATCGCTTTGTGGCCCCGAGGGCAGAGACGGAGAGCGAGCTGGCAAGTGGGAAGGAACTGGGCTCCAGCGCGGCCGGCCTGAGTAGTGGAGGCTCCACCTGCTTCCAAGTGGGCCGGCGCTTGGCTGACCTGTGTGCCACCGGAATCCGTCTCCGCGCTTTCCATGCGGCTCCGGGAAGTCCTGGTCTCCCCCTCTCCCCTTGGTGCCTCCACCTCTTTTTGTGTCTTGTGCTTCCCCACCCCCGGGGTCTCCTGGAACCCTGTCACTCACTCCTCTGCCAATCCAATCCCCCCACCACCGCCGCCACCTCTTCTCCAAGCGTTCCCCCACTCCTTCTGCCTGCTTGAACTTTGCCCTCCTCCAAACCGAGGGTTTGGTGAGGAGCAGTGTTTGATAGGAATGAGGAATAACGCCTGCGCACGAGTGACTGGGCCTCCGGCTTAGAGGATTTAAACCCGGCTCCTTCAGGTAGCTCTCAACTCGCCCTGCCTGACCGACCGACCGACCAAGCAACCGCTTACTTACCCTTATGGAAAAAAAGTCCGGCAGATGGGGTCAGAAGTACACAGGTCTTCCTCGGTAGGGATGAAAAAGTCCTTCTTCCAGATCGGTCTATGGCAGCGTTTGAGCACCCTGGTGGCACACCGGAATCTCCTGGGCCTTCATTTAAATCAGACTCCTGTCCCAGCACGGCCGGCCGGCTGAGGAGCAATCGAATTGGAGTCTCCGGGGTGGGGCCGAGGCTGCTGTACTTCCCAACCTGCCAGATGTTCCTGTTGCACGGTGTGCCTCCCAGAAGCACTCCTTGGAGCACCTGGGAAGATGCCGCAGGTCACCTTGTTCTGAACCCTGAATGCCCTGTGACAGACACGGAAAGCGGTGGATGCGCTCCTGCAAATCCGGGCATGAGTCGCTTTAGATTTATTTTTTTTTTAATTTATTTATGATAGACAGAGGAGGAGAGAGAGAGAGAGAGAGAGAGAGAGAGAGAGAGAGAGAGAGGCAGAGACACAGGCAGAGGAGAGGGAGAAGCAGGCTCCATGCTGGGAGCCCGACGCGGGACTCGATCCCGGGACTCCAGGATCGCACCCTGGGCCAAAGGCAGGTGCGAAACCGCTGAGCCACCCAGGGATCCCCCATGAGTCGCTACTGGCGTGGTGTTTAGCACACCTTAGGCACTCGGCGTACCAAAGAGGAAATAACGGATTCCCTGGTCCTGGCACAGACAGGAGGCCACCCAGTCTAGTGGGGAGGCCCTTGGATCCTATACGGGAATCTGCGGAGACCCAGTGCCAGACGGAGCTTCCGTGCTGCGCTGCTGCTCTGCGGAACCGGATGGGCACCGCCCTTCCCAAACCCACCCTCCAAATTTGTTTTAGATGTGGAGACTGATGACACCACCCGTGAGGGGATGAGAAGGTTGACAGCTCACATAATGAGGCTTTCCAGGGAGACCGAGGTGGCTCCCAGGCATAATTCAAAAAGGGCTTGAGAGCAAGGGGTCGGTCGGTGTGTTTATGGTGGTGAGTGGAGGGCCTGGGATAAGGCTTTTTATCAGCTCCATCGACCAGAGAGGAGGAGTCAGGAGGAGAGGAGGGAGTGGCAAGGCTTCCAAGCTGTGGGCAGTCAAATGTCCAGACCAGGTCAGACTCCCACAAGCTGCTTTCTCCTCTAGGGAATGGGGATGGGAAGCCGCCTTCCATGGGCACGGTACAGATGACTCGGGACCTTAAGTGATCCTGCCTTCGTGCCTTCCACGGTGAGCAATCAACAGACGTCCTGTTGGATCAGAGTCTGATGTAATGAGAAGGGGGCGGGGTGGGGGGGTCAGGGGAAGGGTTCAGGTTCCCGTGAGAAGCTGAACCTGCTGGCCGAGTTTGGGGTACGAATGAGCCTGTGAGGGAAGGGACATGGGGGTGAGGGAGCGATTATGGTAGGCAAGAGCCCACCCGAAGCAAGCATCCTCCCGGGGCAGTTCTGAGGCCCAGATCACAACTTCCAGGTGGCTGGGGGGGGGGGGTCAGCCTGAGGCAAACTGGCCCCCTCCCCAAGGCCCCCCACTCTTGCCTCAGACTGCAACGTCCCGGGTTCCTCCCTCCTGTCCACATGTCCTGAAATTCTGACTTGCACTGAAATTCTGACCTGAAGCTCCCCTGAGACGTCGGGCAGGCCTCCGTGACTCAGCTGGCTTTGTGTTCCATCCCACCTTCTCATTTATTGAGTAAGCCTCGCGCGCGTGCTCCTGGTCGGGACACAGAGCCACGTGGCTCGAGAGGCCTTGGACCTCAAAGGGGTCATGGCCAGGTGGGAGCCACAGCCTGGTGTTCCTCTCTCACAGTCCCCTGCACAGGGATCATGGCGTTGTGGCCATTTGGCCACGTGTCTTATCCGGGTCCGGTCCTGGGCCGGATGCTCCCAGTTGGGGGCCCGGAGGAGACAGGAACCGTGTCTGGCTTCTCTCTACTCCCAGGACCAAGCCCCGCTCTGGTGGGTGGAGTCGCAAGTGATAAAGGACTGTTGGTTAAGTTGGAACCGGTGGTGATGGCAGAAGGCCCAGAGTCCAGTGGGGTGGGATCCAGACTCCAGCTCAGCCGCTGGCAGATATGTCCTCCTGGGCAGATCCACTTCCCCAGGGTAAAACAAACAAACAAACACACATGCTTTATCACTGGGCCTCCTGGTCTGAGGGTCCGTCCACTCTGTACTGCCTGTCGCTTTCCAAAGGGGCATCCATTCTCTTGAGGATTCTCCGTGCAAGTCACCCACCATGCACCACCACCACCACCATCACCACCCCTCCCCCAACCATGAATCCCTAGTGGGCAGGAATCAGATCACAGTCGCCTTTTAGTGTTGGGCTCTGTGTGATTCAGCGTGCCCAGCCATCATCTGCGTGGAACGTATAGGTCAGTCCTGTGGCCTCAAAGAACCAAAGGTGGTTTCTTCAATGTGTTCTGCTTTTTTTTTTTTTTTTTTAAGTAAGCTCTTGGCCCAATGTAGGGCTTCAACTCATGACCCTGAGATCAAGAATCTCACGCTCTACCAACAGCCAGCCAAGCACCCCTGTTCTGCCCCCCCCCGTTTTTTTTGCTTGTTTGTTTGTTTTTAAGATTTAACTTTTTTTTAAATTTTTTAAATTTATTTATTTATGATAGTCAGAGAGAGAGAGAGAGAGAGAGAGAGAGAGAGAGGCAGAGACACAGGCAGAGGGAGAAGCAGGCTCCATGCACCGGGAGCCCGATATGGGATTCGATCCCGGGTCTCTCTTTTTTTTTTTTTAATTTTTTATTTATTTATGATAGTCACAGAGAGAGAGAGGCAGAGACACAGGCAGAGGGAGAAGCAGGCTCCATGCACCGGGAGCCCGATGTGGGATTCGATCCCGGGTCTCCAGGATCACGCCCTGAGCCAAAGGCAGGCGCCAAACCGCTGCGCCACCCAGGGATCCCTAAGATTTAACTTATTTGAGAGAGAGCGAGAGAGCTTGTGTGCAGGCACACGTTAGCGGGGAGAGGGGCAGAGGGACAGGATCTCAGGCGGACATCCACCGCCCACACCCCCACCCACCTTCTCCCACTCTGAGCCCAGAACCCAAGGCAGGGCTTGATCTCAGGACCCTGTGATCTTGACCTGAGTCCAAATCGAGGGTCCCACGCGTAACCCACGGAGCCACCCAGGCACCCCCCTGCTGTGCTACTTTTGAAAAAACCTCCAAAGGCAGGGGGTGGGCACCCGGTTGGCTTAGTGGTAGAGCACCCACCGAGAAATTACTTGAAAATCAGATCTTTAAAAAAGAGACCAGGAAAAAAAATCCAGGCACGTTACAAAAATGTACGTGTGGTGCACTTTAGGATCGGAGGTGGCCTCTGATACACTGTACTGCAAGGTAGACACCAAATGGCTGAAGATTTAGGTGTTGAGAAAGAAGTAGAAAAAGACCTAAGGGAAGATGTGGGACATTATTTTATAACCTCATGGTGAAGTCCTTTCTAACTGTGACTCAAGGTGGAAAGAAAAACTATTTACTTAAAAAACGGATCGATGGGATGACGTGAAAGAGGACTTTTTAAAAGTCTACTTAGGTATTTATTTAGTAATGTCTACGCCCAGCGTGGGGTTCGAACCCAGGCCCCGCCCTTCCCACTGAGCCACCGGGCGCCCCCGAAAGCTACCTTTCAGTGGGTGAACCTTCGGCACCTGGCATCGTCGCCCTACGCAAGGCCCGGAGACAGCTGTGCAACAGAAGAAAATACTCCAGGCTTCTATTACAGACGCGGGGCCAGAGCCCTGAATATGTAAATGACAGATAGAAGCCGAATCAAGCACAGAGCCAGGAAGGGGCCGGAGTCCCCGACCCGAGAGTTCAGGAGGCGCAAGTCAAGGTTGCGCTAACGTCTTCTTCTTCCTTCTTCTTCCTTCTTCTTCCTTCTTCCTTCTTCTTCTTCTCTTCTCTTCCTTCTTCCTTCTTCTTCCTTCTTCTTCTTCTTCTTTCTCTTCTTCTTTCTTCTTCTTCTTCTTCTTCCTTTTAAGATTTATTTATTCATGAGACACACACACACACAGAGGGAGAAGCAGGCTCCATGCAGGGAGCCCCACGCGGGACTCGATCCCAGGTCTGCAGGACCACATCCCCGGCCGGACCGAAGGCAGGCGCCAAACCGCTGAGCCAAACCCATCCGCTAAGACCGGCCCTCACCCTGCTCCTCGCTTGTCCCCCTCCCCCAGAGAACCCAACTTTGACGCCACGCGGGGTCGCCGGCGAGACCGGGGAAGTAGATGCTGCCCGAGAACGTCGGCCCCGCGCTCTCGCAGTCCCCGTCCCCGGCTCCCCGGAATCCAAGGGACCCTCGCGGCGAGGGTGGCCGGCACCGCGACAAGGGCGCACGCACCGGGAGGGCACAAGGGCTCACGACAGGCCTCGGCAGATCGCAGTTTGCAGGCGTTTGGGTGCGTGCGTTGGACCGCGCGCGAGGAAACGGGGGTTGTTCTGTTCTGTGAACGCGACCCGGGGACATCCCCTTCTCGGGACGGAACCGGTCGCGCGGGCTGGGACTCTGGGGTGGAAGACGGCCCTAAGGACCCGGACGCGAGCAGAGAAGAGCCAAGGGCGGGGGGAGAGTGAGGGGGGGGGAGGGGAGGCGTGGGGTGCTGGCTGAAGAGCCGCTTCGTGGTCGCCGTCGCCGTCGCGACGGATACTGGGTGGGGGTGCGGGAGGCGAGAGCTCCTGGGCTGAACCGCTGTGGAGTGTGCGGTGCGTGCCGGGGAGGGAAAGAGCGGTGACCGAAACCTCTCGAGAGGGCAGCCCCGGTGGCACAGCGGTTTAGCGCCGCCTGCAGCCCGGGGTGTGATCCTGGAGACCCGGGGTCGAGTCCCACGTCGGGCTCCCTGCATGGAGCCTGCTTCTCCCTCTGCCTGTGTCTCTGCCTCTCTCTCGCTCTCTCTGAATAAAGAAAGAGAGAAAGAGAGAAAGAAAAGAAAGAGAGAAAGAAAAGAAAAGAAAAGAAGAAACCTCCCGAGAGCCCCGGGAGCTGCGGCCGTGTCAGCCGTCCCTCCGCGGTGCCCGGCAGTCGCCGCGCCTCCTCCGGGGTCTTGGCGCGGGATTTGTCCACGCGGGGAGGTGGGCCGCTAGCTGGGTGGGCTCTGGCTCTCGGCGAGCGGAGGCGGTCCGGAGGGCGGAGCCGGGCCTGGGCGGCCGCACCTCCTCCGGCAGCCAGAAGGAGGCGGGGCATGCAGATTAGAAACGGCCGTTCGGCGCGGGCAGGACGGGGCAACCAGGGACGTGCGATTTGCCGTTCGTAGTGAAGAGGAGGAAACATCTGCCCCAAAGTCTCGCGCTGGGGACGGCCGTGTTGTGGACGACGTGAAGGAAATCAGGCCTGGAGCGAGGGCTAGGCTTGTCACCGTGAGTGGAATAGGAATGGTGGGAACATGGTACCCCGGTGGCCGAGACGGCGGGTATCGCTTCTCGGCCTTTTGGCTAAGATCAAGTGTAGTATCTGTTCTTATCAGTTTAATATCTGATACGTCCTCTATCCGAGGACAATATATTAAATGGATTTTTGGAGCAGGGAGATGGAATAGGAGCTTGCTCCGTCCACTCCGCGCATCGACCCGGTATTGCAGTACCTCCGGGAACGGTGCACCCCCTTCCTTATGGGTTGCTGAAAAACAGACTCCGCTTTTGGTCGCTACTTGCGTGGGGGCGAGGAGCTCGCTCTCTGACCTGCGGCCGCGAGCGTTTTTCTCTGGACTCGATACCTAGCTTCTCCGTGGGGATTTTGGGTCTCGTCCAGCCCTTCTTTTTCCTGTAGTGTCTAAGCCCCCCGGACCTTCCCCCCCCCCCCCCCCCCCGGCTTTAAGGCGGCGACTCAGCTGGTGGTCGCGGGATTCGCTTCTCTCTCTCTCTCTTTTTTTTTTTTTCCCTCTCCGCTATTTTTGGCCGCCTTTTGCCTGCGGAGGGCGTGCGTCCCCGCGCCCTCTTCAGGTAGCGCTTCTCTCTCCTGCCGCGGGGCTTTGCTCCGCGTTGTCGTCCCTTATCGATCGGTTTCCCCCCCAGCCTCAGCCCTGCAGCCTGCGCCCCCGCTTCCCTTACAGGCTCCAACGTTCGGCAACCTGGCCGCCTCTCTCCCCAACCCACTCGCGTCGTTCCCGGTGATCTCAGCAGCCGCTCGGTTCTTCCCTCCTTCTGCCCTTCGGTACCTACCACTCTTCACCGTCCCTTCGTCCCCACCCCACCCTCCCGAACCCCCCATGTCCCGCATCCCCGTTGACCGAGAAGAATTGCCCTGCACGTACGCTCGGCTCCCGTGCAGCGTTCTTGGGGCCATCTGGGCCACTGAACGTAGCTGGCAACAAGCACACCACCACCAGGCTCCGGGGGCCTCATCCCGCTCACCTCAGCTCTCCGTGTGCCAGGGAAAACTAGACACCGTCCACATTTGCCACCGGGCATCCATCCAAGGGGCCCTCACACACAAGAAGCCAAGATAAACCATAGCGGGAAACGGCTTTATTAAAAATCGATTTAGGGATCCCTGGGTGGCGCAGCGGTTTGGCGCCTGCCTTTGGCCCAGGGCGCGATCCTGGAGACCCGGGATCGAATCCCACGTCGGGCTCCCGGTGCATGGAGCCTGCTTCTCCCTCTGCCTATGTCTCTGCCTCTCTCTCTCTCTCTCTCTCTCTCTCTCTGTCTCTCTCTCTATGACTATCATAAAAAAATAAAATAAAATAAATAAATAAATAAATAAATAAATAAATAAATAAATAAATAAAATAAAAAAAAAATCGATTTAAACATAGCAATCTCACATTTTAAATGACTTCATACTTTCCAGGTTCTCAAGGTCTAAATACCTGAATCCAGGGACATCCTCCAAATGCCAGGAACTGCTCATTGGCTGTCATACCCGTCGGTGACCTCAAATGCATCTCCAACAGGTTCTGGCTTGCCACGACTTCTGGTTCTTCTCGCACTTGCATTGTCAAAAACACAACAGTTGAAAATGTTCGTGACCGTTCGTGGCTTACGGTGTTGTTGAGTTGCAGAAAAATCCATCTCTAGGATATGGTCATTTGCACATATGAGGTCGGAGATCTCCCTCATGTAACTCCTTTCACCATCCTCATTTAGAGACCAGTCCTGGGAAGCCTGGGTGGCTCAGCAGTTGAGCGTCTGCCTTTGGCTCAGGGCGCGATGCCACCACGGTCCCGGGATCGAGTCCCGCATGGGGCTCCCTGCTTGGAGCCTGCTTCTCCCTCTGCCTACGTCTCTGCCTCTCTCGTGAATGAATGAATGAATGAATGAATATAATCTTAAAAAAACAAACAAACATATACCACCAGTCCAGTCCTTTGCTTTCATCTTCCGATCCCTCTGACAGTCTCACACTTCGACTCACGGAAATGGGCTCCTCTGTCAGTGTTCTTTTCTTCATCATCCAGGTGAAAAGATGAAGATTTCCGAATTCTCTGTTGCATTCAACAAAAGCAAAATTGGGCCTGCAAAATTGGGCCTGGGGATGTTGTCTCCCATCTGCTTGTCTACCTTCCGGAAAGAGGCATCGGTGCGTCTTTTACGGCGACAAGGCCAGGAGAAAGCCGAAGGATGGTGGACTTGCTTCGCCACCGCTGCAACACCCCTCTGAGGGGTTCCTTCATTCCTCCATTTCCTGATCCTTGTAGACTTCTTCGTCCTTGCAGGCAGGCAAAAATATTCCTAGGATGATGAAATAGCAGATCGTGTGGAGATACAGGGAAAATAGGACCGCTGACACCCTGTGACGGGACTTCAGTTTTGAGAGAGAGAGAGAGAGAGAGAGAGAGAGAGAGAGAGAAGAGCAGCGGCAGCGGCAGAAGCTGGCCCGCCACTCACAGCTAGGCTGTGGCGGTCTCCGGTTGGACATAAACGGTTTCACACAGCGGCGGCGACCTTAAAAACAAGAGCCAGGGATCCCTGGGTGGCGCAGCGGTTTGGCGCCTGCCTTTGGCCCAGGGCGCGATCCTGGAGACCCGGGATCGAATCCCACGTCGGGCTCCCGGTGCATGGAGCCTGCCTCTCCCTCTGCCTGTGTCTCTGCCTCTCTCTCTCTCACTGTGTGACTATCATAAATAAAAATAAAAAAAAAAAAAAAACCACAAGAGTTAGTTATTTTACTGACTAAATGAGTCTATTCGGGAATGGCGGAGGAAGCCCGGTTAGGGACATGCAAGCCGTGGTGAACCTCGGGCAGGTCCCAGGAGGCAGAGGGAAGGTCAGCTTCTATTTAGGCTTTAGGAGGAAAACTCCATTTTACAGGAGATCCCCTTTATTTATTGTCAACATCAACATCGGACAAGGCCGCTCTGTGACCTTGACGAACTGAATCAAGACAGAAACAAGACCACTCCGTGGTCACGTCAGAACGGAGACAAAACAGACGAATGTTGTTCCGAACAACAAAATGGGACCAAACATCCCCTGTGCTGGCTAGTTGGAGTAACTGCTACTACTTTTTACCAGTTTGCGGCTTTGGCCTCGCTCTAGCCTCCCTTTCTTCTGGGTAAGATTTACTCAACCACCCAAATCACCAAATGACCCCGACTTTCCGGAAAGCCTCTTGTAGGGTCGCGGAGATCTTTTTCCTTCTCCACTTTGAGGCCCTGGGGGTGGTGGGGTGGTGGTGGTGGTGGTGGTGGGTGGGTGGGTGGATGGCTGGGGCTTTGTAAAACCAAAGACAAGAGGAAACACGTTTATTACTGTGTGTATCTTATATATACATGGGAGAAAATCAGGGGTGAGTTACTCAGTGGGCTGGCTAGGACTTGGGCATGCACAGCCCCTCAAAACAAAATGAACAGAACACACACACACACACACACACACACACACACACACACCCGCCCCCACCTCACGATACATGTTCAGAGAAGTGACAAGACACTTTGCTATGAGTTTCTAGGGTGTAGGAACAGTGGAAGGCGAGGGCCGGCCAGTAAAGTCTGTTACGGAGAGTCCTCCGGTGCCAGTCTCTGGCCGATGAGGATCTCGGGTTGTCGGCGACTAACTCCTGTACACATCTACGGGCAGAGTTCTTCCTTCTGTTTCAGCTCAAAACAATCCTCATGCCAGAGTGGCATACTGGGGAGCGGGGTCAGCAAATTCCGCTACCCTTCAACCTCCCATTCGACGGGAAGGCCTCGCTCCCTTAAACTCTCCCGCAAGCCCACGTCCCAGACACACGTTAAGAAGCCACTCCGGACACCGAGGCGCCGCGCGGTGCCCCGTGGTGCGCGTCCCCTCTCACTTTTGCAGCAAGCGATGATGACCCGATTCATCTCGTTCGGGGTGTGTTCCTGGTGGCCTCTGCCTGGATGGCAGATGGCACTGACGAGTCATTGAGGGTCCACGGAAGGACCCACACGGTAATCGCAATACGGAAAGAGTTTTGTTCTGTTTAAATTTTTTTTTAATTTTTTTAAATTTATTTATGATAGTCACACAGAATGAGAGAGAGAGGCAGAGACACAGGCAGAGGGAGAAGCAGGCTCCATGCACTGGGAGCCTGACGTGAGATTCGATCCTGGATCTCCAGGATCGTGCCCTGGGCTAAAGGCAGGCGCTAAACCGCTGCGCCACCCAGGGATCCCTTTTGTTCTGTTTAAAAAGCAACGTTCTCTCTCTCTCTCTCTCTTTCTCTCTCTCTCTCTCTCTCTCTCTCTCTCTCTCTCTCTCTCTCTCTCCTTTTTCCCCCGTCGGAAGGCCCGTAGAAGGGACAAGTCATGAAACACGGATATTCACAGACAGAACTGCTCAAAAGAGAAACTTGAAAAAGGAAGGAGAGAAAAGGTTGTTGATCTCTCTTAACTCGTAGGGCAAGACAAGTCGGTAAAAGGGCAGAGGGATGGAGGAGATACGCTTCTGCATCTGCGTCGGCGGACGTACCTACCTGACACAGAGGTCAGATGACGTTAGGGGGTGCTCACGGTGGAAATCTTTCAACGTAGCTGCACGTTCGAAAAGATGTTCAAAAGGGAAAGAGGAGAAATGCCGCATGAAGCTGTTTGCACCTGTCTTTCCCGTCCGGGGCTTTCTCCAAGGAAACGAGGCCGGAGGAGCTTTCCGGCTACCGGGCTACCGGGCTACCCGGCTACCCGCGCGTTTCCGTTCCAGCGCGGGAGGGCGGGCGCGGAGCACAGGAAACCAGGAAACGGCGTGGGGGGAAGGGGCGGGACATGCAAATTAACATGGCTGCTTCTCCCGGGAGCTATGGGAGCAAGACCATAAAAAGCGCAAAAGCCTCAGACAAGTTAAAGATCTTTCAAGCTGCGTATGTTTTGAGTTGTGAGGGTGACAGACTGTCAAGTCTGGGGGAAGAGGGTGGGCTTTCGTTTGAGGGTGACGTTTCTCACCGTGACCTAAAAGATGTTGGAGAGGGAGGGTGTGCAGGCGCCGCAGAGCTGGGAGTTATCGCTTCTCGGCCTTTTGGCTAAGATCAAGTGTAGTATCTGTTCTTATCAGTTTAATATCTGATACGTCCTCTATCCGAGGACAATATATTAAATGGATTTTTGGAGCAGGGAGATGGAATAGGAGCTTGCTCCGTCCACTCCGCGCATCGACCTGGTATTGCAGTACCTCCAGGAACGGTGCACCCCCTCGGGGGAGACGACCGACTGTCCAAGGAAAGTTCTGCCTTGCGGGGGCGGGTGTGGTGGCCGTCGCCGGGCTTGCAACCTTCTCCTCTTGGTCTCGAGCATCTGGCTCTCGAGGGGGTAGGGGTTGCTCTCGCACGGTCTCCGGGAAGTGTGCTAGTCAGTCTCCTTTCTCGTTCTCCGTGGGGCGCTCTGACGCTAGAGGTCTCCGTCTTCTGTCTGCCAGCGCTTGGCGTTCCCGGACCTTTGGGAACTCTAACGCAACCGTACTGCCTCTGAAGAATTGCTGTATAGACTTCTATCCGTGAACACAATTTCGCTTCCTTTCTTTTTTCTTTTCCTCTTTTTTAAGTTTGCGGGTGTTCTTTTTTGCTTTCCTTTTTTGAGAGAGGGAGCCAAGGAGCCCGACGTGGGCCTCCACCCCGGATCATGACCTGAGCGGAAGGCGGACGCTTAGCTAACTCAGCCACCCAGGCGCCCCGCCCCCTCCCCATTTCCTTAGTTCTGTGATTAAAAAAAATTTTTTTTTAAGAATACTTTTTTTTAAATCCTTTTTTTTTTTTTAATTTATGATAGTCACACAAAGAGAGAGAGAGAGAGAGGCAGAGACACAGGCAGAGGGAGAAGCAGGCTCCATGCACCGGGAGCCCGACGTGGGACCCGGGTCTCCAGGATCGCGCCCTGGGCCAAAGGCAGGCGCTAAACCGCTGCGCCACCCAGGGATCCCCGGACTGTGTCTTTCAAAGACACGGTCCATTTTGTAGGGGAGCAAATTGTCCTCTACCTTTTTAGCATCCCAGCGTGAGTCCGTAATTTATGATCGACAAGAGAAAAGCATACACATTTAATCGAGGTTTTCAGAACAGTGCAGCCTTCACCAGGAAATGAAGTCCTGACAGAAAGTTAAACTTATAAAACTGTTATAAAAGATTGGTGAATCACTGACCTCTACCTCTACCCCAAGCTCGAGCTTGTTAATAAACCCTCATGTAAACAAACAAACAAAAAAATCAACCCTAAAAAAAAAAAAAAAAGAAAGAAAGGGATCCCTGGGTGGCGCAGCGGTTTGGCGCCTGCCTTTGGCCCAGGGCGCGATCCTGGAGACCCGAGATCGAATCCCACGTCGGGCTCCCGGTGCATGGAGCCTACTTCTCCCTCTGCCTGTGTGTGTCTCTGCCTCTCTCTCTCTCTGTATGACTATCGTAAATTAAAAAAATAAAAAATAAACCCTGATGTCTTGCATCGACGTTGGCTCCTTGGTGTTTTTCTGGGATTCGCAATCT